AAAGAAAAAAGCACAACCTATTTTAAAAACACCTGGTTTACATTTTTGCTGTTTCAGGGAGCTCTTGTTCATCTGCATCGTGTGTATCTTCCCAAATAGTATGTATCTTCCCAAACATCAAATTAGACTTCAGTGTCGTTGTGTCTTGCAGCTTGCAGGATATGGAAAAAGAAATTAGGTGTTAAAATAGATAAGAGTAGGTGCTTTTAGAAAAATGGAACAGTAAGCAAGCTACTTCAGGGGAGTTTATGCATTTTGTCTGCCTTGTCCTTAGGGAAAGGGGAGAAACTGATGATTCAATTATTTGGCATACAGCAAAGGACCAAAATAACCTTTTTAAACATCTGACATTTAAAGATTGGTTTAGGGGGTGGGGAATGTATTGACAATTGTGAAATTGAAGTTTAAATTAGCCAGCCAGACAGGAGCGATGCTGAGAACTTTGTAAGAAGTAGAAGACTCTAAGCTCCTTTCAGCATAACGTTGAATAACCTAATAGTAATCTGTGATTATGTGAGGAAAACTGTGTGATCATTATCTCCTATGCTAGTTAAAATCTTTGCCTCAGATTGCTTACATTTAGGTTCACTGGCAGAAAAATCAGTAATGTGTATGGTGTTCATGGTTTGGAGTTTGTAGCAACACTAAGTTGGCATGTCCTAGATGGCAGAATCTCATTTCTAGCAAGTCTGCCTGATTGTCCCTAAAAGCAGGAAAGTGACTATGTGACTCCTATTTTAGAAATATATCTTGGATGTTAAGCCAGATGCTCAATACTTTTGTTTTGATTTCTCTAGAAACATTACTAGCTGCCTTCTTTTGCAGTACCTGTATGTAGATTTTATATTCTCACCTCTTAATTGCTTTATAAAGTTACTTGGCCTATGATTTGAAATGTGTGCTTGTATATACAAGCAGAGCAGGTAGCCCAATCAAGTTGAGTTAGTGTCTTATGCCTGCATGTTCTCCATACTCATTTTCTCTTGCTCTTAGCAGAACAAAGGCTTTGGTTGATCTAGGCTGGCTGTGGAAGATACATATATGCTGAGAAGCAAATAGTGGCATTTCTTGTATAGTTGTATGATAGCCTAACAGATACAGCAAAGGGTATGTTTCGTATTTTCTCAAAACAGTTGTCAGTGGTAAATATGGAACTTCAAATGTCTTACTCTCTTTCTGCTAATATATGCAAGTGGTGTAGTTCCAGCAGAGCTGCTAGTTCTGGTGGGATGAAGTCTGGAGACTCCCAGGATAGTGGCAGTATTGCTGCTCAGACAGAGCGGAAATTCCATCTGGCCTTAGAAAGGCAATTGTAGATGTTATGCAGTGGCAGTGTGACTTGAGAAATCTTATTCTCCTGTTTGGTTGTTTCTTTCTCCTCCTCTCCTTAATCTCTTCTAACAGTTGGTGCCGGGAATCAGCTGGGTGAAATTCAATAAATGTGCTCTGTCATGAGATGCTGTCTGAGGAATAAATGTTTTCCTGGGAAAAATATTTTCATTTTCTTAAAACCCACTTCTCCAGAGAAGAGTATCTTGAGATTTTCTTTATTCTTTTTCTTAACTGAGGTCATTGTGACTGCAGTAAATCGTCCTTCAGCAAATGCTTTAAGAGATAATGGGTAACCTCTATATTTATAGTGACTTTCTCTTTCTCTCTCTCCCCTCATCCTTAGCATTTCCATGGTTTGGAATGGATATCGGTGGAACGTTGGTTAAACTGGTCTACTTTGAACCTAAGGACATTACTGCAGAAGAGGAGCGGGAAGAGGTGGAAAATCTGAAAAGCACTAGGAAATACTTGACCTCCAATACAGCATATGGTAAAAATGGCATTCCTGATGTCCATCTTGAACTGAAAAATTTGACTATGTGTGGATGAAAAGGAAATCTGCACTACATCCGCTTTCCCAGCTCTGCCATGCACGGGTTCATACAGATGGGTAGTGAAAAGAATTTCTCCAGTTTGCACACTACACTGCGCCACAGGAGGTGGAGCTTACAAGTTTGAGGAAGACTTTAGAACGGTATGTGAATGGTTCATAGGGGTTCAGTGGGAAGTACTTTGGGGAAAAAATCATAGGAGTCCTGTAAGAATTTGCAGAGAAAACGTGTTTTGTAAGTCCATCCTAACTGATTTAAGACTAGCAGAATTAATTCACATTTGTTAATTAGTGGAATTGCTGAGATTGTGGAGGGGACAGGAAGAGGGTATTCTACTAAGTATTAACTGTGCAAGATATCTTCAGTAAATGAGGGGGGGTTTTTTAGAGTATAGCTGTGATGATCAGATGCTTCATAATCAACTGAGAATGTGTTATGAGAACCTAGAAGCTGAGAGTACGGGTGCTCTTTTCAAACTGGATATCTATCAGAAAACCAGAAATGAAGCCATGCAGGGTGGAGATGAGGTTGAGGTTCCCCTCCCCTTGTACTGATCTTCAAGCAGACACAAGTCAAGAACCTGGAAGGCCAAGCATGGTCCAAGGTTTACTTAACAGTAAACCTCACGGAAAACAGAAAACATGAAACCAAACATTAAACAGAAACTTGACCAAATGTGAAACCGAACTTAAACAGAACAGTAGCAGCTAGCTTTTGATTTCAGTTCTGGGAGTATATTATGAAGAAAAGCGGTTCATGAGATGATGGGGTCCCAGAGCTCCTAGGAGTTAAAAACAGCCTCTGTAGGCACTGCAGAAGGTGATGTAAATCTGATGTATTGGGATGCTGCTGTCTGGATAAACTTCAGCAGTAGTCCTAGCTCCCAGATGGCTTCACTGAGTGCACTGCAGAAACTGATTGTGGTGACAGAGGCATAGAGAGCCATTGTACAAACTGTATTAGAACTAGTTATTTGAAAGAGTTTCCTGTTGTGTATGTGTCTCAACTGGAGCATATGTCCATTTATTTTCTGTAAAAGAATGACTAATCTGCCTGCACCAGAGCAATCTCACTAAGATTAATGTGACTGATTTACTTGACAGATCTGATATTTATGTCCCGAACTTTTGGCCTGATCTTGAGGGTGAGGGATGGCTGCTGGGTATGACAGGTTACATCAGTTCCTTTTCTCTCTCTGCTTCAGTCTAGGGAGCTATCATACTGATTCATAAAATGCAATTGAGTGCAGTCCTTGGCTTCGTGTGCTTCATGTTTAACTCCAAGTATCTATTCATGCAGTGCAAGAGGTTTTTTCTTTGTGAATGCCCCTCACCTAACAAATGACCAGGATCCTAAGGGGGAGAGAGAATGCTGAAGATCAACATGAATCCCAGCTGTTCTAGTGTTGTATAATCATCATCAGTAAATTGTTGACATGGAAGCAGTTAGTCTAATGAAGTACTAGCAAGTTTCTGAATTGCTGTAGTGGTCCACTGCTAGTCACACATTTCTTGTCCTTTAGGCTGATTACAAGTCCCTCATGTTAGGGTCTGTTGGTGGTGAGTCCTCCAGAGTTTTAGTTTGTCTCACGATGTGTAAGGATGTTGGCACCACATTAAGGAGGTTAATTCTAGTGCTAGTCAGTGTGGTATCAGTTCAGGTTTCCAAGCATCCTTCCATGTGTCTGGGGAATGATTCAGGTCATGTTCTGTAGTAACAATGGGAGGTCACTTTGAGACTTTCTGAAGAGGCTGAGTATCCCTTTGGAATGATCAATCTTCCCAAATTCCATTCTCCTATATATTGTACTAGGAGCTAGAGTTGCTTACTTGACAAAGAAGTTCATGACCCTTGCTCAACCAGCAGTAGAATTGAACTGGAAGTTACCTGGTGGCTATCACAGCTTGGCATTTCTCTCCATAGCTTTGGCTTTATCCGGTATAAACATGCAGCTTACAGTGACGGACAAGTCTGTAATCTCTGTTGCAATATAATTAACGTAGCCCTGGAAGCCATAATTGAAGCTGGGGCTGTTTTGCTAGCTGTTGTACAAAGGTGCGAGGTCATGTAGCAAATTCCTGGCGGACTTAAGCCTGAATCCCACATCACTGCAGTGTTGGTTAACATTCTGTGTGCTGCAACACTTTAGAGGTAGTTTAAGAAAAACACCATAAAAGCTGGCTGCGATGTTTTGTAGCAGTCCATGAAGTGCACTCACAACTGAGTGAGTGCTCTGGACATCTCTTCTTACAGCTACCCAGCTCCACACCTTCCTTTATAGGAAGTATTTGTTGGCTCACCGTATTACCCATAGAGTATTACAGAAGCACAATACTATCCATTACATGAAGGATTGCTTGCTTAATCTGTCTCAAAGATGAATCATTCATAGATGCATATGTTGATACGCATCTAATTCTGATAATCTTTACCCAGTTACATACTGTTACCTTACATATTCTGTAAAAGTTTAAGTAATGTCAATTCTGTAAAAATAAGGAATATATGTGCTTATATACCTGTAATAAAAATCTCTTTATACTTTGTGACTCCTCTGTCACATTACTTGTGCAAAAGTATGCTGTTAATGTAATGAGGAATAGATTAATAAGCTGTCACTCAGTGTTTTAAAGCAGCTCAATGTAAAGGATACGTGGGGGATGAGGGAAGAATGGACTAATCAGACTTTTGCCTAAACCTGCTCTGTTGCAAAATTCCTCTCTGTTGCAGTGGGATCTTTGTATTCCTTTACTGAACACCTATAGAAATTTTACTGTCCTGTGTTGTAGGATGAGTAAGCTGTGTAACTCTAGGTTAGTATAAGTCGCTCAAAAATCTTGTTGCACCTCACTTGCTTGGAGGAGGCTGAGTGCTGTTGCTCAGGCCATAGATGCTGGCTTGTAGTGTGTAGACTGGGCTGGAGTTGAAAGCTGCATCTGGAGAATGGGTGAAATAAGTGTGATTAACCTGTTACCATCACTGGACTCCCCACCGATGGCTGGAAAACTCTTCAGTAGGAGTGGGGAGAGGCAATGTGCATCCGTTACCTGCCAAGAGAGGAAAGAGATTCTTGCCCCTAGCTGGGCAAGAGGGCAGATTCTCTGCAGAAGATCCCAGACTAGTGCATTTTTTTTATACTTCAGCAAATGTTGATCTTACCCTTTATTTGCATTAGACTTTGTCTTGTTTGAATACGGGTGGCTATTTCCCTGCCTCAGGGTGTGGAATCAGCTGGGGAATTACCTCATTTGAGCTCAAAAAGAAGCAGGTTTAGCAGTTGAGTAAAGACAATAAAAATCTAAAGGAAGAAAAGTACATCTTTATGAAAGTGGAGGGTCCATAATGGGAGGGAGATGGAAGGAAAAGCTAGGCTGTAAGCTATTATAAGAAATAAAAACTGGTACAATGCCCAGAAGGCATATAAAAGCCCCAGTGGTATACTAAATGAGGCTGTTGTAATTGCTAGTTGAAAACTTGCAAGATGTTAGTTCCTAACAATTTCTTACAGGGAAAAGAAAATATCTCATGTGTCTGATTGAAAGTCCAAGAGACAGATGAACTCGTTACTGCATGTGGGTTTGGACATTTCTGTGCTCATCAGAACTTGGTACCTGACAATTCAAACTGAGTGAAATCTTGGGCTGGAATTTCATTGAAAAAGATGTCTGTACACCAGTGTTGATCTGCTAGGGTGCATAGATGTGTTCACTGCTTCCTTGCTGTGTTGCACCTGCTCGTAAGCATGATTGAAGTCCCAAGCCCCTCCTTTTAATGGTGCTGAAGCATTCGGTGAGAGGTCCAAAGTGTTTTGTTCTTTCTCTTCCCTCAGTATTTAAAAAGCAGTCTAAAATAAAGAGGAATTTCTGCAGTGCAGAAAAAATAGGTCTTATAAGAAATGTACATACAGTTTCCCTGTAACCATCATAAATTTTCCCTCCAGGGTCTTGCATGCTGCTTTGTTCTTCAGCTCTTCCTTGCATAGCACAATGTTCTGACACAAATCTTTTCTGGATAGGCATATAGTTACAGGAATACAGAGTAGGATAAGTTGACAATTGTGCTCTGTGCCCTCACATTAGGGCTTGTAAAGGGCCGGAAGCTATCTGCAAATGCATCTTGTAAAAAGTTGTAAGAAAAAAAACCCTGTAATGTTAAAACATGCTTCTACACACAGCTCCTGGGTTTGCTCTGCATTTTTGCACCTTAAATTTTGTTCCCTCAAGAAGCAGCATTTTCAACAACTGAAAGATGAGGACTAGTAGAGTGTGGTAGGTCAGGTCATGGCACCAGAAAACCCCCTGACCATTTGCCTAATCACACACCAGTTATCCTCTTTACAGGCACATCTATTTTGTGGTGCAGTTTTGCTGTGTGAGCAAAGACACAAAGAAAAGGTGGTTATATATACAGGGAAAAGTCTTGGGAGTTGTGACCCTTGTTTTATCATTACTTCTTGTGCAAGACCGGGTTACTGCATTTCTTGCAGTTATGCCCTCATTTGTGTTCAGAAATAAGAGCAGTCATAGCTCACTGGGCTGTTGGGAGTCTCAGAGGTCTAGTGGCTGCAGAGTTCATGGTTCTGAATGAAGGTGGGTTGACATGGAATACTGATGCCAGTCTTGCTCCTCCCAAAAATGGAAACCAGATTGCTGCACCAATGCAGGGAAATAGTTTTTCTGTCTATGGATATCATACATGAAAGAAAGCAATCACAGGGCTTTTCTGCTTACAACATATCAGCTGTTAAATACAGCACAGAGCTATAAAAAGCAGAACAGATTCTATGTATTTTTTACGTGGACGGCTGGACCTAATAAAACTGCTATGCTTAGTGCTTGAAAAAGAACCTTTGATTAGGGTTTTTTGTTCTGGCCTTACAGGATTGGTGGGCTTAGTGGAGACTTTGTAGAAACCAGGATTTTGTCTGTGTTTTTGCACTTACACCAGAAGTGTTTTCCTCTCAGATGTATATTGCTGGCTCGTGTATTGCAGGGTCTCTCGCTGATGCTTACCTATTTGTAAAGGTATAACATGGATGAGACAAAAGCAGCTCGTGGCTGTGTTTGGCTGATGAGAGAATAGAGATTTTGACAGTAGGGGATGTAAATCTACTAATGACTTGTCTTTGTGTAGCAGGATTCTGGTTCATAGCATGTTTATGTGTGCTGTATTTGTATCCTAATCATGTTTGGTCATGCTGCATGTAGCTTACACAGTAAGATGAGGAAATTGAATATACAGCACATAACCTAGAGAGAGATCATGATTAGTATAGAATCTTCCCTTATTTTTACTAGCTTTGTGCAATGTTAGTTGTGTTTTAATAAAACAAATCCTCTGACAAGTGATGGCTCATTGGGCTCACAATGTTACCTGTGAAAGATAGTGCATGAAGCATTTATTTTGTTAATGCCTTGTGTTGTGTATCTCTTGATTGGAGCTTTTCCTGTCAGTCTTAATAGCGAGAAATTGCTGAAATACATGATATTTTCAAAGCAGCCTGTAGATTTTTGTAATGTTTCTTTAAAAACCTTTTCTTCCGATTTGTGTTTATTTTTTTATTTGTTGGCTAAGTGGTTTAAGTCCTTTATGCTACACTTCTGTGCTTGTAATTTGTGTAGCCATGTGGTAATACATGAAAATTATTTCATAATAAATGAAAATTATTTCAAGAAAAAATACAAATGGATTTTAAAAGTTGCAGGAGGAAATACTTGAAAAGACAGTATCTCCACCTTCGTCTGTTGTCCTGGGAATAACTGGATCTATATTGAGGTCTTTGAGACTGCTAGTTTGGGTTTTTTTTGGTTTTACTTCTTTTCTGTGGTTCTAGAGTTTGAAGATTAACAAGTGTAACAAAAAGACAGATGCAAATAATAGAATGGCTTTCAGTTGAGGCAAGTCAGAGCTATGTTCAAGTAGAGAAAAAACTTAGGGGGAGAGATTTAAATAGCGCAAACGAATGTAACCTATTGGCTGTGCCCGTTCCACAGAAATACCTTGCTTCTTTATAGTGACTTAATATAGCTTCCAGAATTAAAAATAGGAGGTAGTTAGCCTTGTGAATCTCCTCCGTTAGCTGTTATAAAAAACATCCTGAAATGTGCAAATGTTTGAGAACAGCTTTCTACTTACCACTTCCTTTTGTTCTTAATAGCCTGTAGGTTTTTCTGCTAGAAAGTGGAGTTGGGTAGGACCTGATTTTGGGGATGCAAATGACTGCAGGGTTTGGATGGACAGCTACTATTTTACTTTTTTTCTCCCTCCCTCTCCTCTCCCTAACACAAGTCAAACCTCAATGTCATCTGGAAAGGAGACTTTCTAAACAGATTGTCACTGTATCCTACTTCAAGAAAGGGATGCGATTTCTAATTCTAGTAAACAGAATGCTATGGCAAGTAGGCACGTCTGCTTAAATACAATCACAGATGACCTGTGAGATCTCAAAGGCCATGTCCTTTGAAGCTTTTATAATTGTTTTTCTGCCTTCTGTCACAGTTATATTTCTGTTAACATTTGGCTGGGGGCATGGGCCTGACGGTATTTTTGGTTGGTTGTGGGTTTTTTTATACTGTTTTTCACCGAACATGGGGAATCCTCTTTTTTTTTTTTTCCCCCTAATGAGGCATCTCATAATGCTCATCATAATTAATAAAAATAGCTCTCTTAGGTTACTGGTGATGCATACTTGGAAAGTATCAGATCATATAAGCATAACCCACTGCATATTTAATGCATATTAACATAAACATGCACTTTGTAAGGCTTTATCTTCTTTAACTGGAGTTTCTTGCTCTTAAAGTTTCTATTAAAAATTTCCTTGAATTGCTGGGAAATGTAGTTGGATGATAAGTTACAGCACTTTGCATCCTGTCCGAAAGCTGCAGAACACAGCTCCCCTTGGCATGGGATAAGGGGAAAGAAATTTATTGCTTCAGGATACTGGGGGGGGGAGAGGATGCCAGGGAATGTTTCCTGCTAGCAGAGCAGGGAATGTCTCAAAGACAAAGGAACCAGGCGATGTTACTGTGCAGCATGTCACTGTTTTGGGAAGTGCCCACTGTTGGGCGGGTAGCAAACTTTTTAATTTGGACTTCATGCTTACACAGGTCTTCGTACTGTTTAAATAGCATAATGTGTTACTATTAAAGTGATCAAAGTGCTTCAGCAGAGCCTTTTGTCCTTCTTAGTGTTGTATCATACTAGGAAGTGTTTGTTAATTTCTTGTTGCTGTTTTCCAGATTGCTGATCTACAGCTTCATAAACTGGATGAATTGGACTGTTTGATCCAGGGCCTCCTGTATGTTGATTCTGTTGGTTTCAATGGCCAACCAGAGTGCTAGTATTTTGAAAATCCTACAGATCCTGAACAGTGCCAGAAAAAACCTTACTGCCTTGATAATCCATATCCTATGCTGCTGGTTAACATAGTTCAGGGGTCAGCATCCTAGTTGTTTATTCCTTTGGGGGGGGGGGGGGGTCTATATCAGGGAAATCATTGGTCCATTCAACTTTAGAGCTGTCTTAGTCTCTTCTTAGTGTTCTTACCTACATTCTGTCTCTTGCTGTGAACTGCCCAAATAAAGCTGTCCTGGTAAAGGAATCTTCTTTCCCCTGCTTTGATCCCCCAGACCAGCCAGAGCAGTGAAAGAAAAATTTTGGGGTTAAACAATAACCTCTTGCTTAGTAGTTAGGATGAATCCAGGATATAGGAAACCTTTGTGGAATTGCCTGGTACTACTGGATTTTGGCGGAGGGATCTCACTGGATCTCTTGTTTCATTACTGATTGCACTAGTCTTTGGACCATGCTGGTAAATTAAGAAATGCCAGCATATAAAGACTAGAACTTGCTTGTCTGTATTCTTGCTGTGTCCTTAGCGTGATTTTAGCCTGCCTTAGCTAGTGCTCTCTGAAATGATTTGTGAGGTACAGCCGAGTTGAAATTGTCTCTGGGCTACGTTCAGTAATAAATTTAGATGTGACTGCTCTGTTTAGGAATCCAGGATTTCAGTAGTGTGGGTGCAGAATTTTGTTCTCAAGGCCAAAAACCAGCCTTAGGCATGTTTAAGTTCACATTATAGAGGTGGCAACCATGCTTACTGACAGGAAACCGCTTGGTTAGAAATGTGTCCAGACTAGTAGTAAAAATACCTATAAATCTAACCCACTTTTTTTCATACATGCAAACCAAATTGATACACTTCATTTTTAGTAATCTTGTAATCTTAAAAACAAACCACCAACACAGAAACCTCAATAAAAAATAAAAATCCCATTCCAAAACAACCACCAAAGAATCTTTTTGGGTTTGCTGTAGTCCCTTCCAAACTGCATTCTGTTCTTCAGTGCATGGTACATATAATAAAGCTTTCCCTATATAGTGCACATGACTGCCTATGTGTCTTCTGTTGGCTTATCTAGGGCATATCTTTGCCACTGTGGTAGCCATGAGCTGTTTTTCTGTTTACAATACAGATGAACACAAGTTGAATGGAAGAGGCATTGGTTTTCTTGCAATTCTGATTGTTCTTCAAGCACAGTAGTTTAGGTATCTGTAGATGTGCTTTCCACCTTAATACTACAAAAGGAAAAACATGACTGCAGTAGGTTGCTGACTTACTATAGATGATGAAATAAGTACTCTTTTGTGGCTGGTGTACAGAGCTTGCAGTTCAAATACTAAATATATTACAGTGCTGCAGGCTGTTCAGACTAAGTGGTGTTCCTGTCTGACCACCCCTACTTTCTTGCGAAGTGCACTCGTGTCTCATCGATGCTGTCGTTTAAAGTGGCTACAGTTGTTGTGACTGTGATTAGTGCAAATAAAGTAGCTTTCTCAAGGGTTAAGAAAGAATGAGGAAGGATGTAGAGCCTAGTAAGTTGAAGTTCATGTCTGTTAAGACTAGAGTCCAAAGTAGAATTTTTATGAATGAGTTACCAATCTGCTAAATTTATGTAGTCAGTAAATATTGTACTTGAGCCTATGCAAGATACTAAAGTGACTGATTTCTTCTTGAAGAAGAGCTCTTCAGAGGACTGAGATGTTAACAGCTGCTACTAGCCTTACTCTGAACAGGAACCAGCCAGACTGCTTCCTGCCACTGGCTAGGGGGGCAAGATCTGTCTTGGCTGCCTACCCCAGTGTAGATATTTAGCTTTGATCTCTGTTTATTCTTTCATCCCTGTCTTAAGTGATCTGCTGGCCAATTATTCTCGCACAAGGGCAGCTTGCTAGAGTGCTACAAGTAGCAAGCTGGCATCTGCAGTGTTGGATTGGACTTTATTCTCAGCTAACCCTTTATTTAGTATCATTTCTCTGATTTAAATATTAAGGATTTAAGAGCAGTTCAGTCAAAACCATGCTGGATGACATCTGTGTTAAATAGAAAGTTAATTCAGGGTGTCTGTCTTCACTGCTCTGAAGGAGGAGTTATAAGTTACAGTTGGTAGCTATGTAGACCATATTGCAAACAGGAGTCTGAAGAGCTGTGGTAAAAGTTGGTTCAAGATGCTGGTCTGAAGGAACTGTGCTTTTTTAGTCTTGGAGGAGGAACGTTCCTGGGCCTGTGCTGTTTGCTGACTGGCTGTGAGACATTGGAAGAAGCACTACAAATGGCTGCAAAAGGAGACAGCACCAATGTGGGTAAGCTGGTGAAGGATATTTACGGAGGAGATTGTGAGCGGTTTGGCCTTCAAGGGTCTGCTGTAGCCTCAAGGTATGTCTTAATTGAGCTGGTTTTAGGAGTTCCTTGGGAAACTTACTGTGCATGCTGAGCTGAGTGTGTAATCCCTGAACTATGTACTGGGTCCCTGTGGAAATGTGACTCTGAATGTATCATGTTGTTTGCCCTTAGAGCTCTCACCCACTTCCTTTTTTTTTTTTTTCTTGACAGGTGTAAGCAGTGCTTGGTGTAGTTTCCTTCAGTTTAAATTACAGTTGTTTTAGACGTGTCTTTGCCCATTGTTGTGCCTTTCCAATGAGATCCCTTTTCACATTTCAGGTCTGTCTCCAATAATGGATGTCAAATCCAAGCAAAGCTTACTAAGTGATAAAATTTCTAAGGGCTTTTAGCACTCCTGAATAACTCCTATTGAAAGGAATAATCTTCCTTATACAACTTTGGTCATATGATGAGTAAAGAAAAGAGAGATTCCATCAGTAAAGAGGACTTGGCTAGAGCTACTTTGGTCACCATCACCAACAACATAGGTTCTATTGTTCGCATGTGCGCATTGAATGAGGTAAGATAGCATATTTACTATGAGCTTAAAACCTTGACAAACAAGATAGATTATCAGAACACGAAAATGCAAATTGGTGATATAGCAGGTGTGTAGCTGGCCTTGGGAAATACGCGTATGTTTAACGTGGTGCCCTAACTTTGTGTTATGTGTATGCTTTGATGCAAAGAGTAAACTACTTTGAGCTTCAAAGTTAGGGAGAAAAGGAGAAAGATTGAATGTAAAGATCTCCTTGAACCATTGATGCCTAGAGCTGTTCAGTTGCTCTCAAGCTGTATGTAATATGTAGTGTATTAACACCTTTGTAATTGAAATTAATACTCCCAATTACCTTGTAGTTATTAACGGTCTTATCCATGACAGATACTTACTTTTTTTTAATAGTATTTTGTTTGGATGCTTTCAATAGCATGATGGGTTTAAATTGCATATTGTTTTAAATGTTTAGATATAAGATCCATTGTATTGGGTCAGAAAGAACAAAAATTAGATTATTATCCTGCCTCAAACTCCTATCAAATGCTATTACGTTATTTTCTTTAGAACGATAGGTAGAGATGGTTTGTTCCGTTCATACACCTTTCCAGCTTCTAGCAGTTTAAAGAACACCCCTCCCAAAAAACCCAAAACCCAGAAAAATAACACCCGCAGAAAAAATTCAAACCAAACAAAACTCAAAAAAACCCACCAAACCCAAAACCCACAACTAACCAAACACAAAACCCCCACCAAACCAAACAAAAAAAGCCGCAAGTACTTTAGTCACTTGTTTTCAGCTGCAAATTGCATCCTTTACTACTATGTGGTAATTAATAGAATCACAGAATCATAGAATAGTTAGGGTTGGAAAGGATCTTAAGATCATCAAGTTCCAACCCCCCTGCCATGGTCAGGGACACCTCGCTCTAAACCATCTCACCCAAGGCCTCGTCCAGCCTGGCCTTGAACACTGCCAGGGATGGAGCATTCACAACCTCCTTGGGCAACCTATTCCAGTGCCTCACCACCCTAACAGGAAAGAATTTCTTCCTTATATCCAATCTAAACTTCCCCTGTTTAAGTTTTAACCCATTACCCCTTGTCCTGTCACTATAGTCCCTAATGAAGAGTCCCTCCCCAGCATCCCTATAGGCCCCCTTCAGATACTGGAAGGATGCTATGAGGTTTCCACGCAGCCTTCTCTGCTGCAGTCTGAACAGCCCCAACTTTCTCAGCCTGTCTTCATACAGGAGGTGCTCCAGTCCCGTGATCATTCTCGTGGCCTCCTCTGGACTTGTTCCAACAGATCCATGTTATTTTTGTGTTGAGGACACCAGAACTGCACACAGTACTCCCAAGTGAGGTCTCCCAAGAGCAGAGTAGAGGGGCAGGATCACCTCCTTCGACCTGCTGGTCACACTCCTTTTGATGCAGCCCAGGATACGGTTGCTTTCTGGGCTGCAAATGCACACTGAAGCCGGCTCATGTTCATTTTCTCATCGACCAGCACCCCCAAGTCCTTCTCCTTGGGCTGCTCTGAATCTCTTCTCTGCCCAGCCTGTAGCTGTGCCTGGGATTGCTCCGACTCAGGTGTAGGACCTTGCACTTGGCATGGTTAAACTTCATCAGGTTGGCATCAGGCCACCTCACAAGCGTGTCAAGGTCCCTCTGGATGGCATTCCTTCCCTCCAGCGTATCAACCGAACCACACAGCTTGGTGTCATCGGCAAACTTGCTGAAGGCGCACTCAATCCCACTGTCCATGTCAGCGATGAAGATGTTAAACAAGACCGGTCCCAACACCGATCCCTGAGGGACACCACTCGTTACTGGTCTCCAGCCGGACATTGAGCCATTGACCACAACTCTTTGTGTGCGGCCATCCAGCCAGTTCTTTATCCACCGAGTGGTCCATCCATCAAATTGATGTCTCTCCAATTTAGAGACAAGAATGTCGTGTGGGACAGTGTCGAACGCTTTACACAAGTCCAGGTAGATGACATCAGCTGCTTTACCGCTGTCCGTCAGTTCTGTAGCCCCATCATAGAAGGCCACCAAATTGGTCAGGAAGGATTTCCCCTTAGTGAAGCCATGCTGGCTGTCACCAAGCACCTTGTTGTTTTTCATGTGCCTTGGCATGCCTTGCAGGAGAATCTGCTCCAAGATTTTGCCAGGCACAGAGGTGAGACTGGCTGGTCTGTAATTCCCTGGGTCATCCATTTTCCCCTTCTTGAAAATGGGAGTTACATTTCCCTTTTTCCAGTCTTCGGGAACTTCACCTGGCTGCCATGATCTACCAAATATGATGGCCAGTGGCTTAGCAACTTCATTTGCCAGCTCCTTCAGGACCTGCGGATGGATTTCATCAGGACCCATGGACTTGTGCACATTCAGGTTGTTAAGATGGTCTCGAGCCAGATCCTGTCCTGCAGTGGGCCCAGGGTCTTCATTTTCGCAGTCCCTGTGTCTGCCTTCCAAGACTTGGGTGGTGCGGTCAGAGCCTTTGCTAGAGAAGAACAAGGCAAAGATGTCATTCAGAACCTCAGCCTTCTCCAAGTCCAGGGTAACCAGTTCTCCCAAGAGCTTCCTGAGGGGGCCTACATTCTCCCTAGTCTATTTGCTACGTACCTGTAGAATCCCTTCCTGTTATCCTTAATATCCCTAGCCAAGTTTAATTCTAACTGGGCCTTAGCTTTCCTAACCTGGTCCCTAGCTTCCCGGACAACATCCCTGTAGTCTTCCCAGGACGCCTGTCCTTGCTTCCACTTTTTCATTTGAATTTTTCTTTTTTCGTTTGATTTTTTTGCTTTTTTCCTTTGAATTTTCCTCAGCAGCTCCTTATCCACCCAAGGAGGTCTCCTGGCCCTCCTGCTGCACTTTCTTCTAGTTGGGATGCAACACTCCTGAGCTTGGAGCAGGTGATCCTTGAATATCAACCAAGAGTCTTGGGCCCCCCTGCCTTCTAGGGCTATATCCCATGGAACCTTACTGAGCAGGTTCCTGAAGAGGCCAAAGTCTGCTCTCTTGAAGTAAAGGGCAGTGAGCTTGCTGCATGGTCTCCTCACTGCCCTGAGCATCTCGAATTCGACCATCTCGTGATCGCTGCATCCAAGGCTGCCCTGGAGCGTCACATTTCCAATGAGCCCTTCCCTGTTGGTGAGCAGGAGGTCAAGCATGGCACCTCTCCTTGTCGGTTCCTCTATTCCTTGCAGAAGGAAGTTGTCTTCCACACAATCGAGGAACCTCCTGGATTGCTTGTGCCAGGCTGTACCCAACAGATTCATTCCCGGTCATTCCAACAGATGTCAGGGTGGTTGAAGTCACCTATGAGAACGAGGGCCCGTGAGTGTGAGGCTTTTCCTATCTGCCTATAGCGTGCTTCATCCGCAGGTTCTCCTTGATCAGGTGGTCTGTAACAGATCCCCTCAGTAATGTCTCCCATCGCTGTTTTCCCTTTAGCCCTGACCCACAAGCTCTCTATTAACTGCTCACCTGTACCCAGACAGTTCCATACTCTCCAGCCTATCCCTAACATAAAGGGCAACTCCCCCTCCACGCCTGCCAGGCCTGTCTTTTCTAAAGGGCCTGTAACCTTTCATTCCAACACTTCAGTCATAGGAGCCATCCCACCATGTTTCTGTGATGCCTGTTATATCATACCCCCGTAGATGAGCACACATCTCTAATTCCTCTTGTTTGCTCCCCATGCTACGGGCATTTGTATAGAGGCATCTGAGCCAAGCTCCAAATGAAGCCGGCTCATTGGCTGGAGCAGCTGGAATATCTCTACATTGCTCCGAGCATTTATTATAGGTGCTGGCAGCTGACTGGGTGTGTTGGGATGGAATGATGCCCCCCCTCCCCCAACACATCTAGTTTAAAGCCTCCTTGACCAGTCTGGTAAGCCTCCTACCAAAACTGCTCTTCCCCTTCTATCAGAGCAGCTCCACCAGCCTTCGCTAGACCTGGCCAACAAACTTGGGTCCCATGTTCAAGACACCCAAACCCCTGACTGTGACACCACCCTTTTAACCATTTATTAACCTGGCTAATCCTCCTAGCTTTTTTTAGGTCCTCCCCTGTCTCCTGGAGAATTGATGAAAAGACTATCTGAGCTCCAGAGCCCTTAACCACCTCTCCCAGGGCTCTGTAGTCCTTCTCTATGTTCCCCAGGCTACTAATATCTATATCCCTAGCACCCACATGTATCACCAGAAGTGGGTAATAGGCCGTGGGGCTTACCAGAGCAGGCAGCCTCTCTGCCACATCCCTGATCCGTGCCCCTGGTAGGCAACACACCTGCCTGGAGACCGGGTCAGGCCGACAGACGAGTGCTTCTGTCCCTTTCAAAGGAGAATCCCCTACTACTACGACCCGCCGCGTTTTCCTGGCAGCACCAGTAGAGATCTTCTTTACTAGTGCATCAGCCGGCTGTTTCTGGTGCATTTCCTCATGAGCCCCCTGCAGGACAGCAAAGAAGTTTTGCATGGGGGCAACAGGTTTAGGAGGAAGTCCTTTGCTTTTAATTGTCCTTTTCCTCCTTTTTTTGTTGTTTTTTTTTTTGTCACCAATTCCCAGCTTCGAGGGTTAACAACCTCCTTCTTTCCTCCCTGAGCTGCAGGGGAAGCCTGAGGACTCTGCACATTTTGGGCAGGGAGCAAGCATTCCTGCTTCCTCTCAGCTACCCTGACATCTTGTAGCCTATTAATAGCTTCCTGCAGCTCAGCCACCTTCTGTAGGAGGACCTGCAGCAGGGAGCACCGAGTGCAGCCCTACCCATTGTGTACCTTTCCCTGATGATCAGATCTGTGGCCTTCCAGCAAGCTGTAGAGAACTTAATGGCCTTTTCAAAACAAAGGAGGACAAGCTTGAGAAGAGCTGGACTGAGGGCCCTGCAGTTCAGAAGCCTCAGTTCTGAGTGGCAGAGCCAGAAGGGTGATGGGAGCTTCTGTTCAGTTGGAGGCTGAAGGCAGTTTAGTTTAATTTCTTTTATTTCTTAGGATGAGAATGTGTTCAATTCTTCTTGCTTG